GGCTAGCCAGACTATTACTACTTGTACTCTTCGTAATAGGGGTCTTTTGCTTCTCGTATGATGTTAAGTCGTATCTCCGCCTCAAAACGCCCAGGAATTTCATGATACATCCGTCGTCGTTTCTTGTCTTCCTCAAGAGCTAAACAAGCGAGTCTCTGTAGCCTCGGATCTCGTTCGCTTCATCTGTTCACGACGTGCAAGTGTACGAGGAGTAACATCTCTATCCGATGATAAAGGGTCACAGTTGTCGGAGACTGCAGCCTTGGACGCAAGAGTGGCTTTCGTGGGAATTAGCCTTGTTCCTCCTTGCCAGCACAACTAGCTGCTTTACTACACAATAGTTTGGCCGTCGAGGTAAATTCACGAAGGCTTGGTTCAGGGTCGCGACGGTATAATCGCCCTTCACGCAAAACACAGCGCTTAGGGGTCCCTGCTGTTGCTACTCGAACCGCCGGTGACATGGCCACAGGGGCAGATGATGCTACTTGAATTGCTCGTGATTTCGCCACACAGGCAGTAGATCCAACTTGTCTTGCCGGCGACTTTGCCGCCGAGTCGGTATTTTCCCCGCGTGATTGGTTACGTGTGGTATGCTTTGCCGCGAACGTTTCCATGAGTTTATTCTCGCAGAAAAAAACACAAATGGGTTTGAGCGTAACACATGTCAAAATTATAGCTTCATTTGTGGTGCCCCACCAGTAAATATCAACGTTACAACGTCGTACACCAGCTTACCAGTAAATACTAGTGAAAGTTACTCGCAGCGGCTCGTATAACACCGAATCTTTTTAAGTATACTAGCCCTTTGAAGATGAAATTTACAAGACGTTGAACGGTTGAATAGTGATTGTCTGTTAACTGTTGGAAATGGGCCAAACAGAACCGCAGCCGATAGCGTTGAAAACGGCCATATTTTTCTTGTCGTTCAGCTACAATAGAGTAGCCTGTCCAGCATAGTAGCTTACAGTAGCATATGCATTTTTTAACAGCATTATGCACAATAGGACGTTCAATGGCGTCATGGGTTTTGGACAGCGGCCGTTTTCAACCGACCAAACAGCACCGTAGCCGGCAGCGGCTTTCGATAACCGCTCAAAACAGCACTGTAGCCGGCAACGGCGGATGATACCCGCCCAAACAGCACCGTAGCCGGCGACAACTGATAGTCAGCCATGGCGGTTGACTACCACTCCAGCAGCACTGTAGCTGGCAACGGTTTTTGATAACCGGTCAAACAGCACCGTAGCCGACAATGACTGTTGACTACCAATCCAGCAGCACTGTAGCCGGCAACGGCTGATGATACCCGCTCAAACAACAATGTAGCCGCCAACAACTGATGATACCCGCTCCGGCTACACCGTAGTTAGCAATGGCGGTTGGCTACCGCTCCAGCAGCACCGTAGCCGGCAACAGTTTTTGATAACCGCTCAAACAGCACCGTAGCCACTAAAACAAAGACGTATTCATTAGCGTTGAAAGAAAGTATTGATTCTTATACAGCAGCCACTGATACAACACAGTAGCTTGTTTAGCACTGCTGTGTATGCTAGGTTTAAGGAGACCATAATAATAATAATAAAGTCCCAATCATTTTATCATGCAAAGGAAACTACATGTACTGTGACAGTGTGTAGGCTGCAATGATTTCAAATATGCTCGATCAAATGCAACTAAAGTAAATCATCACCTTCCGCACTAGCCTTCGCTTCATCATCGTCCATTGCCAAGCTGTCTTCGCATTGAATGGTCGAAGAACCCTCATTCATGCTTCTGCGTTTGTTGCCTTCAACGACGGATACCTCTTGAACACGATTGTCCGTTCCTGGGTCAATCGACTGCAAACTACCTTGAGCAGCTTCAGCAAAGTAGTGAACCGAGTGGATCTTCCTAAATTCGTAGACGCCCCCCACCCGAAACCGCTCCTTCGAACCAGATCCTTTCTTCTTCTTCGGGTCCCATAGCGTCAAGTGAAAAACATACTGTTTCCGACGAAGCTCGTCCAAACGCTGGAACTTTACTCGAATCGACTTGAATTGAACACCTGATTCAGCATCGATGAGCGTGAGGCGAGTTCCCTTGTCCGTGTCGATGCGCTCGAAGTCCAACTCGCACATGCGCAGTGCGATGCTGACGTTTTTTCCGGATTGGTTTCTTCAATGAAGCTTCTCACGTCTCCAACACATTCGAAGTAGTTTTGCGTTTCTTCATCTTCTTGTTGCTTCAGCTCGGCGTCCAGTGCCGCTGACAAAGCACTCGCTGAACGACTCGTCATCGTGTTGAAAGTGGCGCTGAAGCTGCTTTACTGATGTATCCGCTTCTCTGCAAGCATGCAAAATGGCGAATGGCCAGGTAACTCTGCCAGAAATAATCGAAACTTTTACTGCAGTCTTGAGCAGCCGCCAGTAAAACCATTGTTGGAAAAAATTTGCCTAGAATCAGTTCTGCGTGGTATGAGCAACAAATTATTAAATATCGTCTCTAAAAAATCGCCATCTCAAATCAATTTTCATGGTGTGTTTTGGCAGTATAATTCAATAAATAAAAATACGACCCGTGTGATGTCTCTGTTTGTAATAATTCGCTGAGGGCACCTCACCATATTAACGATCTGTTGGTTCTTCACCGCCCACACATGTGCCGTCGAATCCCGATCGCATAAGCAATTTTACTTTGAAAAACAATCCATCGGCATCCGCAGCCTTGTACTTGTCGTCTTCGCTGAGTAGTTTCGATTAAAATGATGTAAAGATCAGCACAATTATAATACTTGATGGAGAACACAACCTGACTTGGGTGGTGTTCTTCTCCAAACAAAAGTCTCTATCTCTTGATAAACAAAGCCAATCGCACTCTGAAGAGCAACAATGATCCATACCGCAACATCGTTGACCTCCACAAGTGGTAGACTACTCAGTGGGTACGATCTGCGTTCATAGGTCATCCAGGCTTAGCAAACAGATCATTCGCATTCACGTCAATCGTACGTCTTCACGATTTTAATCAAAACTGACTCACTGTCGGGATTGATAGTTCCACAATGATGTAGCTGGAAAGTATTTCCATGCCAAGTGAACGTACTTTAATGAGCCTCAGTTTGTTTGGAAGCGCACATAAATCAGGGCAACTTATAGAGCAAACAGGGGTATCCATTTCACTAAAATGCCTCAGTTTTAGATTAAATCAGCTGTTTAGGTCGTAACACTGCAACGTTTCCACGCTCCTCTATATTAAACTTACCCCCCCCCCCTAAAAAGTGGGCCTCGGTTTAACGACAATTGTCTCGCCCAGTCAGCTGCCAAGTTTATGTCATTAAATGCAGGTAAATTGCACACTTTTTGCCCCTAGAAGAGTGACCATTAAACTTTTCCCTACCCCTTCTCATAAAATAGCCGTAGTAAAGATAAATAAGAGAACTAAAACCAAGTCACTTCATTATAGGGGGGGGGGGGGCAATAAGTTATAATTTTTTACAAATGTTGACATCAACATTTTCATTCCCCACCCATTTCTGCGTCGGCTAGCTTGATTTCAATTCGATTAGTGACGTCACTCTGTGATGCCGAAAGGGCTGTATAATTGGCTTGGGATGTATTGGCACCGGGTCGGATTAAGACAGGTGAGTCCGTTTCTCAAATGATAACTGTAAACACTGTAAAGCTCACTGCTAATCTTGGCTCGGAGAACGCTGAATCCATCGTTGTGTGCGAAATCGAAGGTAATGGGAAGCCCATACGTCGTTCTACAATTCGTGTATGGTTGCCCAATTTTAACGTGGAGCTGGACTTGCAGTTTATCGGGCAATGGCAATCCCATTGTCGCACTAGCACACGTAGCAAATTAGAAAAAGCATCCCGCTTCGAATGAGAATAGACCGTAGCTACTTACCGATTGGCTCGTAACGGAGCAGGACAATGTGCAGATAAGCGCTTTCTCAGGTCTACAAGCTGGGAAAGTAGTACCCGCGCTCAGTCTTGTCGCTGTGGTATTGCGTTGTAGGCGCGGTTTTGCTATGTCACAGGGTAGGATTAACATATTTTTAACGTTGGGTTATGTTCTAGCTTTAGATTCACGAAAAAGATTTGTAGTTGTTTTAGAGGCGCTATTTATAAGTCAAACTTGCAAAAGCACAATATTAATAAAACAAATTACGCAAATGAAAATGAGAGCAATAACTATTTGGAAACGACGGGAAATATTTGATCTCGAAATGTTTCGAAAAATAACTTCAGTATTCTTAGAAAACAAGCTAAAAATAGTACCGGGTGGAAATTGCCAGTAAAAATATGGAGTTAGCACTGCGAATTCTAACTATGATTGCGCTTCTATAGGCATATCGAAGCAGTATTGCATACATTCACCCAGTGCGAAGAAAAAAAGTTTTCTTTATCTGTGTAGCAGTGACATGAGTATTTTTCCGCGTTCGGTAGGGTGAATGTTTAGTAACGGCGAAAAAGTTTGTAAATCCTCGCCATTATTAGTAGTACTGCGAATTCGGCTTTCCCCGCGTAGCGGAGCGAGGCGGCAGGGGGTCGTGCGCTCCAGCAAAAAGATGCAATGAACCGTAGCGCTTCAGATGTCTATCAATATTTAGATTATGAACATTTACGCTGATGCATAAATTAGAATATAACTCCCCCGCCGAGCCGAGCGAGGCGGCGCATACTCGCGCTCGACTTCAACCTGCGTAAAGGTTCCCGCTTGCGGGTCTCCGCTCGGCTTGTTTCCTCATATATATGTATTTATCGTCAGGTACAGGTTCCCACCCGCAATTAACCTGGTGGTAGACAGTGACGGAATTCATTGACTGGAACAATGAAAATATGGAAGTTGGTATATTCTAGCAAACTAGTTAGTAGCCGTACTATTCCTTACGTAGTAAGGTTCGTCCTGGTACTCGGCTGAGCAGTACGGAAACGTGGCGGAGTCGTCGTCCGGATTGAACAGGTTCTTTCCTGCGTAAATCATGACGTAGCAACCGACGACACCGCAGATAGTGGCGATAGTGATGCAGATCGCCTTCTCCCACATCGGGATCTTCCTCCAGAACACCTTTACATAGAATACCAGCGGCAGAATCAAACTGCATACAGTGATGGCGGTTGCGCCAGTGAAATCCACCAAATCGAGAAAGTGGTCCTTCAGTAGAATGGAGGCCACAGTCAGAATCGCTATCAGAGCGATACGCACGAGGACGTAACGGACCACGTTCACGCTTCCCTTGTACTCAGAGAGGTCGTCTTGCTCTTTTGTCGTCGACTCACGCGCCGAACACTGCTCAAGGTTGTTGTTCTCGAGATCGGGGACGGGTGCCGCAGGGGACGGCGCAGCGAGGTATGACATCTTCTCTTCGATCCCAACCTCACGCTCCTCGCTGTCGGTGCGCAGGGGGTCAACCTTGTGCATTCCCAACACGAGACGTTCCGCCATGTAAAACGCTGGGTGTAGAATTGTTGAAAAGGCGATCGACAAATGCAGTTGCATGAACAGATACGACATAACCACCGCCCCGCGGTTGGCTGTAAACCCCAGCGTTGTGGTGCTGTAGGGGTCGGACGTGTTCACGATCGAAAAAAGCAGATTGCCGGAGAGCTGACATCCACCAGCAACGTAGCCGATAATAGCAATGGCGAGGAAGAATGCCGAGGCAAGGCCCAGGCTAACGATAATGACGCGGGGCATACGCTCGGGCTGTGAATGCTGACGCTGAAGGTCGGGGATCACAATTGCTGCAGCATATGCGAGCGACAGGTTTCCGAACGTAGTGAGAACCTGGTGCAGAGTTACGTCAGGCGTTGGGGGTGTAGGATGGCCGCGCTCCTCGTACAGGAGGATCGCAACACCGATGATATCAGCAATGATCGTGCCCAGGCATCCAGCCACAGCCATACCAGCACTCTCCTTCAGGGTGGGGATCAGCGCCACAGGGATGACCATAACAGCCATGAAGATGATCCACGCGGTCTGGCTGAACGAATCGGGGAAAAGCACGTCGAGCAGGGTACCGCCAAGTACGAGGAATGCGCATGGGGCAAGAAGGCAAACGCCCATGTGGGAGACCACCACGAAAAAGCGACCCCACTTGCCGGCGACCCACTCGCCGAGGTCACCGTACGTCTTCACCGAAGACGGTGCGACCATCAATACCTTGGACAGCAACACGGTGCTGTATATGTTTGAAAAGGCCATAAACAGGAGCGCGACGGTCGCGTAGCCCCAGCCGGCGCGAGCGTAGTTGGACGGCATGCCGAGTGAGCCGATACCGCAGATGCAGCAGAAAATGTTGAAAGCGATCTTGGCATCCTCGAGGGTAAAGAGAGCAGATCGCGCCGCCGAAGAAGGAGCAGACATCGTGGGTGGCAGTATGACCGCAAATTGGACAATGAGCCTTCAACCGAACTGGGCTGTGCGCAACAGCCAGCAGCATTTTCCTTTGTTTGCGCAATGGTTGAAAGAAGACCGCACGCCTCTCTTCGTCCGTCTACACTCGTAGTTGCAGTTGTCGCACTGCACCAGCATGCACTGCAGTCTGCAGAGCCCGGCGCGACCGGTTCTACGTTCGCTTCACTCCGACGTAGACCAGCGAAAAGCGATCGCGCAATACATACCCTACGTTTTCAAAAACGCGCTCGCCAAACTGTGGCGACGGCGTCGGCAGCAAGCACTGTTTTCCGCCAGTCAACAGAATGTGAGCTTATCATAGTCGACACCGTCGGGCCAGTCGTTCGTTCACATGGCAAAAATGTGCGGGGCGCTCAGATCCCATCACAAAGTATTCGGTCTCCTTTAGAAGCATCCCGCAGAGCATCCCCAAGCTGTCGCCGAATGGCTGCCCAGTGAACTGTTGCATGATCAGATATACGGAGCACGCCACAAATCCCACTAACAAAGTCAAGAGACGAGCCGCATCCAACAATGACAACCCCTCCGTTGCTATACAATTCGTTCTAAGGGGTCTTTTGGAGAAAGGCATCGTTAATCTTCAGAAACCTGATATCCTGTCGTAAAACGATATCAGTTAGGTCCACCAAGTCCCTTTCTAGGGATAACTATGGAGTAAAGTTGGTATTGCAATGGTAAGCTTGATACGAAATGTTGAAGAAATTCTTGTATGTAAACGTATATATTATGGTCTATGGCAACGGCAGAGGAGAAGCTAGAGCTCCGACGAGCATTTGAAAGTGAGGCTCCAGGCGGGGCATACAAAACAGCCAATTTGCTGCTTCTGGCAAGTGTTCGCACCTAGCTTCCAGCGAGCGTTGGGCGTGTGCTGAGGTATGTAAGTTAACTAGAAAGCAATCTACATCTACACTGTAAACCTTACCGTTTTGTGTACGCGATTCGAGATGTTGCTATAATATGCTACACCACAGATCGTTTTGGCATGGAGTTGACATTAGAAGGCCTGCAGTTGTGTCTTCGATCTTGGGGTTTCGATCACAAGTTGTATCAGCCTCTATTACGAGGCTGGAACAACTTACATACTCATTGGTTTGATTTTCCTTTGCGCATGGAGTCGGAGGTGGGCGACACTTCGTGGGTCTCTTCTCTAAACTATCATACATCCTCGATTCATTTATGCCTTGCGTTTAACTTGAGGTAACCTGAGTAACATGGCATATTGCTATATCTGATAGGGTAGCTGACCACCGGCCATATTAGGTATGACATAAGGATACTGCAATATCCGATTGTAAATATTGCGTACACAACCAAAAATTGATATTCTGGTATGCATAGTTACAAATGATTTGTACTCAACATGTATTAATAACGTGTGAAAGCAGTACTGTATCAATGCACAATATTATATTATCCTTTCGAAACTATAATATTGCAAATTGATACCGCTTGTTATCCAATTTATAACAAGCGTGAGAGATCGAATACATATAGTAGAGCGTAGCAGGCGATGTGCGAATACAATGTAAAAGATAAAATGCATTGCTTTGATGAATTTAGAGTGAAACAGTTCCTCACTCATACTTAAATAAGTATCTGTATACAAGG